GGGGGGAGGGGGGGGGGGTGGCCTTTTACAGTGAAGATTCAAGCCTACCACAGAGACATTCTTCTTCTTCTTCTTCTTCATCCGTGTGCTTCGCTCATGGCAGCGGCAGTCGCTGGAGGAGCAGCGAAGCCTGGACTCCTTGTTTAGAGAGAGAGAGAGAGAAAGTAGAGCTAGCAGAAAACTCTCTGATGAAGTTCGTAACTCCAAACACATAAAAGCACCGCTCACTCTTTGGGGCATTCTCACCATCTCATGCGGCACGTGAGCGTTGCGCGCTCTGGAAGCGTGCAACCTCCCCGGTCATTGAATGGTGACCAGCTTCCCACACAGCGAGCAGCACGACTCCACCACAGGATTGCTGCTGGTGAATCCAGCCAGAAGAAACTACAACATCCACCTTCCCCAACAACCTGCGGCAGATTCCAAAGGTGAGGGCAAAGTTCGCCAACTGTTGTGCAATTTGGGTCTCATTAGGAAGCTATTTTCCTATTGGCTGGAAAAAAAGGTCACGGATGAGCGAATGAGTCCAAATGATGTGGTGACTAACACAGCAAGCAGGCAGCCCCCGCCCCGCCACTTTTTTATTCTCCTTGCTGCTGTTTTGTGTCCGATGCCAGCTCCACACGACGTGCAGCTAAGACACCGCCTTACTAGACTATCAGACTTATCTCGCTTCCCCTTATCATTTAAAACTGCGACACACTATCCACTGAAGGTAAGTAGGAATTTCATGCACGTGAGATCACACAGCCTGAGTGCAAGGGAGATGCTCTTACCCAATTAAAATATCTCGCAGCACGCGTAGCACTCACAAGTTAAATTATTCTATCTCATTGAACGCAGTTGTCTAAGGCTGAAAACTGCACACACTTAAAGGAAAAAGAGAGGCTGAGTCTGACAGCCCTGTCACCTTGGAATATAGGAGTCTTTACGTGTTATTATCACATCGGGCAGTAAGCCCGCGCTATCAATGTACAGTGCAGCGCAGCGTGAAAGCGCATGTTCAATTTACTAATTACGTCAGATTATATTTAGCTTCGTTCGAGATTTTACAAGTGCTCGTCATTATATGTCAGTCCTTTATACTCCTCGTGTATTTTGCCGACCTAGTAGGAAGGATAGGTTGGACCGTGTAGTGCACATGGGAGTATTCAGATGATCATGTTAATCTGCAGCCGGATTGAGTACTGCAAGCTCAGCCACCCACTTCCTTCAGAGAGGACGACGCCTATAGCACGAGCAAAAACCTGATAACACACTACGGACTTCGGATGCTTCTCTAAGGAGATCGTGAGAGAAGAGGTTTGAGCGTTATCTACCATCATTCGGACCGCTACACAAAACACTTCATATCTCACTAGCAGCAATTCCAGATGTTCCTCGGATTTGTCTATAAACACAATTCACCTATTACTCTTAATATCAAGTATTTTCTCAGAGTTGAACTCCTTTGTCAGAACGTGTGAGATAATACTTAAGGAGTTCGCGCCACTTCCAATACGTCTTCCAGCTTCACCCTGACAGTGGAGTAAATCGTGTATATCTTTCATATCAGACGCAAGTTTCCGATTTGCGTTCCATATTGTTTCTATGATAAAGAGAGCGCTACTACCTCAGGCGATCGTGTTGTTACACAGGTTTCCCTCCTAGTCTCCCTCTATTCGGTTATTAGTAGGAGAGAGATCAAGAAGTACAGTAAACAGCGTTAAAACCATAAATACTTTTGGTGTTTTCTTCACGCCAACGATCAATCAAACTAGATCTGACCTCTAATCTGCAATCATCCCTGTATCATGTTGTGAGATGCTCTCTTACTAGTACATCTTGCCATTGGTTATTCTAGCTCTGTATTGTTAAACTATACTCATAGAATAAATATAGTAGTTGCTCACTCATCAAATAAGAACGATAAGCACAATACGAAATTGTCTGCTAAATGCAAAAAGATATGTTCTTATACTATAATTGTTTTACTATATTACGACTATCCACGATAATCTTTTCCGAGTTATCATTTCCACAGAAGCACTGGAATCCTCTGATCCACTATATTATATCTACTCGGTTCAGAGCTCTGAACATATATCAGACTTAAATAAACATAAAAGAGAGTAAATCAGAATGTACAGAAGAATAAAATAACGTAAGAATAGTGCTACTTCGTATAAACAAAATAAAATCAGCTCTTGTTTCTACCTTTGTCTGCTTCACATGAGTACCTGAGAGATTATGTCGCGCTCGAACGTTCCACATCAGGAAGAAATAACTGACACTGTTATTCCCAGGTTCCAAGGGGATCCAGACGTGTTTTTTCCAGCGCTGTTACCGGATTAGAGAGGAACGCGTGAGATCTCGCGAGTTGTGCTGAGGGGTGATGGCCACAGTTCTTGCGGTCCTGGACCTCAGGATGTGTTGTTTCCCAGTTGCAGATATCATCATCCAAGTTTAAATATCAAAAATATCGCATTCACAGCACTTATGATACAGTCGCAGATTACTAACAATCTTCGCAGAGTCCCACCCTCCACAAACGAGCCCCGCAGGTGGTAATATGCAACAACTCACCTGCATCCTTAGAAGTTGTCCAGAAGGACATGTTATCACAAATAATTCTCTAGCACATGGTTAGAGTCCAGGTCCAAAGTGATAGGGAATTACAAGATGAGCATGTAATCTTTGATCAGAGCACCACACATTTGCGAATAAACAAGAGCAACGTGTATGCTCGTTATCTATTCTTCAACTCAAGCGCATACCTCGCCACACCATTTTCGGACTTGGTACTTTGATGATTACGAATTATTTCATCTACTCTTCCTCGCAACAATACACATAACATATATACACCACACAACATATCGTACACAGGAAAAGATAACAAACTTATCTCACTACATCTCTTCTCGTTATGTCATGATCATACGTTACCATATACCTCTTATAAGACACAATAGAATTCACGACAAAGCAAAGACATTTCTATCATAATATATACAACATACACATACTATCTTGGAAGTATCCGACACAATTGCACTTACAGACCTATGTGTATTGTGACACAGATTCCATCTCATTAGCGTTTTTTCAAAATGCATGGTCTTCGCTTTGTTGTTTCTCATTATTTTGGTCTGCATTATAACATTGCGACATAACTGTTATCGCTTTTAGTAATCACATACTTTGATTCATTCAGTTATCAGTGTGCTTATTGTGAACTTGTATTTGATGATAATCTTCTTATCAGAATCTAGATACCCAATCAACTACACTTATACTAATCTTATGACTACACTACGTACTCCTCTTCTCTTTAACCTATATCACATCCTTTCCTATTTAATCTATTTATATAAACATAGATCTATGGACTTAAAGTATCTAGGCTTTCCAAAACTGACGTCACAAATAAA